CACAATTTGTACAGTGTCACAACTTTTTTGGAATTGGGTTTGTACACATAGCAAGGGTTTTTTAATTATATAATTATACAAAAAGAAAACCAATAGAATGGTAAAAGAATAGAGCAAGGTAGTGTTAAGAGGCATGTTTTGCTTTTGGTAATTGTATAATAAATAAAAAGAAAAGGAATAGATAGAATACAAAAAAAAATAGTGAAGCTAGTGCTAGTTTTTTTTTTTTTTAAGAAAACAAGCAGTTAGTAAAAGAATAGAGTGCAAGTCTAAAGGGGCTAGTTTTTTTTAAAGAATATAATTAGAATAGAGATTGTTAGAGTTAGAGGGTCAAATAAAAATGGAAGAGATGTGTTTTAGCCGATTCTTGAAGACAGCTAAGGATTCAGCTGCTCGGATTGAGTTGGGCAGGTCATTCCACCAGGAGGGAACATTTAATTTAAAAGTCTGTGAAAGTGATTTTATGCCTCTTTGGGATGGCATAATAAAGCGATGTTCACATAAGAGGGCACATAAGTCTGAAGTAATGAATTTAAGTAAAGGGGTGCAGAGCCAGTGGTGGTTTTGTAGGCAAACATCAATGCCTTGAATTTTATGCAAGCAGCTATTGGTAGCCAGTGCAAATTGATAAACAGAGGTGACGTGCATTTTTTTCGGCTCATTAAAAATTTTTGAAGGAGTTATGGTTGATGTGCTTAATTGGATGGTGAAATTGTGGCTGCTATGCTGATTGCCATGTTTCTGAATGACAGAGCCTAGTGAAGCTATGTAGACACAGAAGAGAAGTGGTCCAAGAACTGAGCCCTGAGGCACACACACTTACTTTTGTTGACAAGGAACAAAGCATATTTCTCAATATATAATGAGATTATATAAATTTCTCAATATAGACTGAGATTTATTCATATTTCCCTCAAATTATGTCCATTATTTTTAGGAAATTCAAACAATAAATGCTGCTTTCATGGTCTTTGACATGGCATGACAGATCGCTGTATAAACGCCTATATATAATAAATGTTTAACGCTCAAACGGCGAAATAAACATGAATGAACATCTCATGCCTCCTCAATCAGTGTTTCAACAGCAGAAAGATGTCAATAAAACAGTGTCTACAGCTCAGCTAGCTAAATGAAGTGCAGAGAAGAGCATTTCGTGGAATATTAGATTATATACTCATATTTTACTTTACCTGTAAGTGATGTTTTAATTATTTAATATATGTAAAGGGGTCATATGATGTTGCTAAAAATAACATTATTTTGTGTATTTGGTGTAATAAAATGTGTTTATGCAGTTTAAGGTTAAAAAACACATTATTTTCCACATACTGTACATTATTGTTTCTCCTCTATGCCCCGCCTTTCTGAAACGCGTCGATTTTTACAAAGCTCATCGGTCTGAAAAGCAAGGTGTGGTGTGAATGGCCAGCTATCCAGTGCGTTATGATTGGCCGAATACCTCAAGCGTGTGACGGAAATGTTACGCCCCTACCATACTGTGATGATGCCCTGTCAGGC